TAATATTCTAGATGGAGATGCTCTCAAATATGTATGCATTAAATAATGAAGATTGTAACATTATCTAGAAGGATTCATGGTTTATTTATAGCCCATGAGCTTTTTTTTTTTGTGGAGATAGGGGGTTTGAGTGTAACTTCAGCTTTTGATATTTTAAGTTGTATTCTGATTTATATTTCACTCATTTTATCTAGTAAAAAGACGGAGACATGGTAGGTCACGAGAGACTTTAATACACCAAATAGTATTGGTGAAGTGTAAACTTGTTTAATTAAGCCTATTTGTTGAAAAATAATTCCTTTATGATTTGAAGTAAAAATTTATAGAATTGATGATATCAGATTCATGTATTATGTTAGAATCCATGGGTGTAGCGAATCCAAACAAGCCTAGGGAGCAATGGAAAAAATCCTCAGGCTTGACACCCTAGGATAATGTGTCGTGCCTACCTTGTTGGCCTAGTAATGAGTCAAGCTAAGCTATTGGGTTTAGCAGCACTCGGCAGACCTAGGTTGTGCTTGCTATGCCTATGCGCTGGGTTTGGCAACGCCACACCTAGGAATCATTTAGGTCTGACAGACGTCATATACAATGACATATGGGTCTATATTTGGCTAGACTTAATAATCGCTTAGGTTTGACCAACATCAGACCCAAATACTTTAAGATATGGATTTGGCTAGACCTAATCGCACCTAGGTTTGCCCAGTGCCAGACCCAACTCGCTTTCATAAGAAAATGTTTGATGATAGTGCGTGTCAGCCTAACGCGCTTGAGAATGTAGAAAAATTATACCCGTATATTTTTCTTAATTTTATATTTTTTAAAAAATATATATAAAAATACACTAATAAGATATTGGTTTATCAAATAGTTTCCTAAGAAAAAAAAAAGCAAACTATAAGTCATCATACTATTGAATATCATTTAGTTACTATTGTGAGACAAAAAAGATGGAAACAATGAAAACAAAATAGAGAAGATAAAATATGAAATGAAGATAAAATTGTGTTTGATAGTAATATACAAGATACAATGAATGTCTTTGTATCTTGATTAGTTGATGATGAATAAAATAAAAAAATATATATTTTACCCTTAATAAAATAAATTAAAATAGAATGCTTAATCAAAGTGTGACTTGCTTATAAATAAGTTTTGAAAATTAAGGACTAGAATGTAATTTATACATGGAACAACAATTTTAGAACTAGAAATGTAACATTTTCATTTTTGAAACCAACACATCAATCATAAAAAAGGGAAAAACATGGTAAAATTTATTTTACTTTATTTTTTTGTTGAACTCATTCAAAGTTTATTGAAATTTCTACTAAAATTTCAGCAGGGTATCCTCTATATCAGGGGGTTCCAAGTTATCAACAAATCACTTGTACATATTCTATACTCATTGCTCTACACATTCTAAGTCTTAAATTGTAACATCCCAAACTTTTAAGATAAAATTCACAAAATCATCAAGTTAAAAAAATAAGAAAAAATCCCAGAATTTTTTTTAAATTAAAAGATAACTATCAATTAACCTTCATAATTGCATTCATACATTAGCATAATATAAATTTAAAATTTAAAATTACTTTATAAAGTTTTAACAAAATAGTATTACATAACTTTATATATATAAATTAGAAGTATTGTTAAATACAACCCAAAAGAAAATTCTTTCATTTTTCTATTAATTTAAGTGACTATACATAGGGAATACCCATACATCAACTAAGGGTTATGCTATTAAGATGAATTTGCATTTTAATTTGCATAAACATAACTAAATTTATTGTGATGATCTAGTATATTTTTCATTATACTAAAAATTTTCTTTTTAATTCATCTATCATTAATTTATATAATTTCCCATTTGTCAATACACCAATCTTGTTTAATAATAACTAATTTTATTGGTTGTCCATTTCCAGGGCACTAGTTCCAAACTGGGACATTGGTCCCACCATCAACCCAATCTTAGGGTGCCAGTTCCAAACCATGACACTGGTTAACCATCAACCCGTTCATTAGGTGCCAGTCCTAAACCAGGAACTTGTTCAATCATCATTCAAACACTATATATAAATACTAAAATTTGAACTACATTTTATTATGAGCTAAGCTAAAGAATTAAAAGAGACTTTAAATTAAAGATCTAAGTATCAAACACCTACCTTAAATCTGTGCTTTGCTAGTTGTCCCCTACTCTCGTTTATTTCCCACAATCTCACCTATACCAATACTTTCACTAATTTAAATTTCAAGTCTTAACCACACATACACAAATATATATACTATTTTCATTGCCTTCGTAATTCAACATTTTATAATAAAAAAAAACAATTCCAGACAAATGTTACCAATTTACAAGTTTTAGATGGTTTAACATAACAGCTTCCAAATATTGTTTAGTAGTTTGAGTATAACTGGAGCTATAGAACTTGATTTTATGCGTGGTTTGTTTTTTTAAAATGCTAAAACATGGTTATACAACTTTTATGAAGATGAATATACCAAGTTTTTCCACCTACATGCCTAAATTCATAAATTTCAGAAACCTAAAAATATGCCTTGCTGATTCCTAGTTTTGACCCATTTTTTATTTTTCTTTCATATTTAGTGTTCTGTCATTCTAATTTAAGTAAGGTTAATTTCATTTGAAAGGTAACATCCATGTTTTTAAGTAAGGTTAATTTCATTTGAAAGGTAAGATCCATGTTTTATGAGGAAGATATCTTAAATTATGTCATCTTACGGTTCAAATCTCAGTTGAGAAATTAAAAGACAACTTATCCAGTTTTGATTTTTAAGTTTAACAAGTATAAATTTGTTTCCCACGCAATTTGCATGCCTCCACCTATCATTATTTAACAAACTTTTTAAACTTATACTAAGGTATTCTAAAATGTTTATTATTCAAGAAAAATACAAACAAATTCAAGTGACTTAATAAAAGAGCTTGTTATATTCTATTATAAAGAAAATGAGTTAAGAGACTAAGAACAACCACTTTTCTTCTTCCTTTCTTTTCTTCTTGTAACCCTTCCTTTCCTACTAGTAAATTCTCTAGGTGGTTTCAAAGTTTTCTTCCTAAATCTTATTTGAAGTACTCTTAGCTCATTTACTCTCACTTTTCTTTGGATTTAAAGGATGAATTTATGAGGTTTCCTCTCAATTTGTTTTCTCCTCTTTCTTCCTCTCCCTGGCCGGCCATTACTCTAGGAATTTCTAGAGATTTCTTCTTATTTATAATCATTTTCTTTTTTTATTTACATCTTACCCTCTCATATTTACTTCTATTTTCATGTTTACCCCACCGTTCATCTTATTATTGCATTGACCCCACTACTTCTCTTTCTCTTTATAAACCCTTTACTCCTTTATTATTGTTTTTAATTTCACTCCACTCATTAAATAACTTCTCTTTTAATTCAATTAATTTGTTTAATTTAATTCTTTCTCCACATCCTTTGTATTTTATTTTATTTTACTAAATCAAGATGAGATTATTTTATCTGAGGGTTTATAAGAAAAATCAAGTGAGGACTTGATTGAATAAATTTTTAAAATTATCTTGAAATAATGTAAGTGATATTATTTAGGGGGTAAATTGATATTTTGCTATTTATAGGGTTTTCAGGTTTTTCTACAAATTAAATGTTATGCCTCTTATTTTCTATATAATACACAATACAAAAAACTATATAAGTTACAGAACACTAAAAAAATATAAAATAAAATAGCTATAACTCAAATGCATATCAACTCCTCTGACCTAGAAGGATTTAAAAGATTTATCACCGATGGTTCGTGTGGATAATCGTTAGAGGCTAAACACTTTAATAACTTGTGGTTTGCTATAATCCAACATTGATGTAATTATTCAAAGCAAAAAAAAAAAAATATATGATCTTCAGGTAATTTTTGTATAAACAGTAAATATCTTTAAATCTTTCTAATATGATCTTTACAATCGAACTTAAATATTTTTATATATATTACTTTAGTTTTATACTAAATGTTAGAGTTAACAATAATATAATAACTTTAGTTATAAAATCTAGACCGGCTTGATGGGTCAATACAGGACCTGGCTAACTTGGGACTCAACAAACCGGGAATTTAAACTAATTGAGGCTTAAAAGAAAATAAGTGAGAATTGACTCGGCATAACTTGGTTTAAAATCTAAATTGATCGATTGGCAATCCAGGATAATACTTGTTGACTTTATCTGATTTTTTAAATCAAAATGACATCATTTTAATAATTTAAAAAAATTAGGTTAACTTGGTTTAAGGGTTGACCCTCTTATCCTATTAACCCAACCTTATTTTGAGTTAAGTTTTAAAATTATGATAATAATTATTTTTATCATTAAAAACTTTGTATAATTTTGAATTAGATGAAAATTATGATAATAATTATTTTTATCATTGAAAACTTCAGTTGGATAATTTTGAATTAGATATATTTTACATGGATATTTTAGAGGATAAAAAATAAAAAAATTATCTTTAAAAACATGTCCTTTACATACATTGTATTTTAAAAATAAAAAAATTTAATTTAAAATTATCTAACCTAGAATAAAGATAGTACATAGTACCCGTTTGAGAATTATTGACTGTGGTTGTTGTTTTTAACTGTGACCGTGACCGTAACTTTGAAGTGTTCAGTAAAATTTTAAAAGCAAAATCACAACTAGAACTTTCCCAAAACGACCAAAAGTGTTTACATAATCTAACTAGACAAGACCATCAAAGTTTGGTTTTCTACTTTTTACCTTAACAACTACGAGAACACGTGCCACGAAATTAGTTTACATCCTACGTAAAATATTTCTTTTAAGTACAAATTTTATATTCTGATCTCGTCTCTTATTTTATTTAATTATTTATTTTTTTTGTAAAGGGTGAAGATAATCAAATACTTGTGGACATGAAAATGCAACACGTACATTATTTTTGTACTAGTTTATTTATCCACTGTGTTATATCATTGAAGACACAAGAATACGTCCCCGTCCGCCCGTCCGTCCGTCCGTCCGGCCTATGAGGCTGATTATGTGATGTCATGTCATAAAGTCACAAGCCTAAAGAGTAGCCAACCAGACAAGGGACGGCGCATGTTTTTCTCCCTCTCCTACGCACGCGTCTCCCAGTCCATGTTTCAAACATAAATGAGAAAAATAAAAAACCCAAACACACCACGCACACGTACATCTATCTATATATATATAGAGAGAGAGATCATCCCGGGAGTGACAAGAGAAGAGGTTTTTTTAGTTAGATGGCAAGCCGAGAGAGAAAATAGGGTGGGGGAGAGAGAGAGAGAGAGCGAGGAATGCTGGGAAGTTGGTGGCTGTAAAAGAAGAAAGAGAAATCACCAGTATTTTTTCTTTTTTATATATATATGGGTGGGAGTGGAACGCTCGTGAACGGTGTTCGTCGCTGGTTTCAACGCCGAAGCAACAATAATAATAGTAGTGGTATTCCACAATCATCGGTAAAGGTGAAGGAGGATATAGAGGAGACAGAGGAGCAGGAGTTGACTGTTATTGAGGATTTTGATATTTCTGGTCTCCAACTTATTAGAGTTCCTAAACGCATCCATTTCCCTCCTGGTTTTGCCATGGATCCTCACAAGAAGGTAACCTAAATCCAAATCCATTCAAGAATGGATATACATTGATAGATCTCTGTCTTGTGGGTTTTTCTTTTTTCTTTGTTTTGTTCCTGATCTCTTCTTTGTTTTCTTTGATAACTACTGTTTCATTTCATTTTGTTTTTATGATATGGTTAAATATGTTTTCTTTTCTTTTCTTTTTTAATGGGTTTTCTGGGATTTGTTTGGCTGGTCCGTTGATCTGTTTTAATGTGCTTAAATTCTCAACTTTTGATTGCAAAAATATAATGGGTTCAATGAGAAAATTGAGTTCTTGTATGGTGTTTGATATCGATTTCACTTTTGGTACAATGTATTATTCCTTCATTGGACTCATCTGCTTTTTTGGGTCCAGAAGAATGTGGTTTTTTTAAAGTGTGGGCAGCTTTCATTGTCGATTTGCTTATTAGTTGCACAATTGTGTTAACAATTATTATTGTGCAGGGTTATTTGATGCTCATAGTCAATTACCGTAATCGGCAGTTCAATCTCTTAGTTGTTTCACTTTCTCATATTTGGTTCTTAGGAATCATTTGTTAATCGTACTTCCTTTTAGTGGAAGAGTCTTTTATTTGACTGGATCTGTAGGTGACACAGTTTTTTTATTGAAAAAGGCTCCTTATGATATGATTCAATTTTTTTATTTTCAAATTATGGTGTTAGATGCATGTTATTGACCATCTGACATATTTCCTTTTGTATAACATGGAAAGAATGCAAAGCTGACCATTTGGTGTGTTTTGGAAGTTCAATCAACAGTTATGATGTTCTCACATGAGTTTCATGGAAATTGAAATACTTTTATGAAATTCATCAAGAAGTTTCAATTTTTATCTGAGTGTTACACTTAGATTCGTTTGCTGCATTGTACTTGAACAAATAAGCCATAAAAGATAGGTTTTAACATTACCTCCCATTGTAGATCTTCCTTTGATCAATGTTTACCAGTGACATGATTGCATGAGATAGGTGATGCTATACCTTTTACATGTAATTCAACCCTCTAGTCTGTATCTCTCTACGTAAATTGCAGTTTGATGTTGATAAAAAGTAAGTTTGATTCTTTAAACAGGGCTCGGATGAGGCAGATTTCTTCACCGAGTATGGAGAAGGTAATCGATACCAAGTACAAGAAGTCGTTGGGAAAGGCAGTTATGGTGTTGTTGGCTCAGCAATTGATACTCATACTGGAGAAAAGGTTGCAATCAAGAAAATTAATGATGTTTTTGAGCATGTTTCTGATGCCACACGTATTCTGAGAGAAATTAAACTCCTTCGGTTGCTTCGTCATCCTGATATTGTAGAAATAAAGCACATTATGCTTCCTCCTTCGCGTAGGGAATTCAGAGATATCTATGTTGTTTTTGAGTTGATGGAATCTGATCTTCATCAAGTAATCAAGTCAAATGATGATCTTACACCTGAGCATTATCAGTTTTTCTTATATCAGCTTCTTCGTGGTCTAAAATATATACATACAGGCATGTGTTACTTATTGTCTTTTGTCTTTTTATACCTTTTTTGATAGTTGATTCATTTTTTACACTTCTTGCAGCAAACGTGTTTCATCGAGATTTAAAGCCAAAAAACATTCTCGCTAATGCTGACTGCAAATTGAAGATATGCGATTTTGGTCTTGCTAGAGTATCTTTCAATGATGCCCCATCAGCTATTTTTTGGACAGTATGTTCTCTAATGCAAGTTATGAGCTTCTGTTTTATTTTTTATTTTTTTTCCTTTTCTTTTTTAGGCCTCAAATGACAAAATAAGTAATTATGCATTTGTTTTTCCATTTTAGCTCATTTTTCAAGCTTTCCCATAAATGCCTGTTTGTGTATTTGATTTGGTGCTGTAATTGTTTCCTGTTGTCACTGTTCTGTCCTATTTGGGTTTAGTTTTATTACAGGGATTTTTTCACTTGTAATGAGCTTGATGGAATAAGTTTGGTTGTGTTGGGTGTTTGGCTGTTGCTAGCCCGGTAATGAGATTGAAGAGATGGGCTTAATGGATAGGTGACCAGTTGAATGTTGACGTTTTTATTGCTGGCTAGGGGTTTTTTCCTCGTATGCTTGGCTGGCTGGACATGGAAGTGGGTTTGTGAAATGTTTATTTGGTTGCTCTTGGAGGTGGATTTTGGTGCCTTAAATGGTTGGATGTGCAAGGTCTATAATATACTAACTTTTTATGCCTTTATTTTTTTGGAAGGACTATGTAGCAACTAGGTGGTATCGCGCTCCTGAACTCTGTGGCTCTTTCTTCTCCAAAGTAAGCTTCCTTTTACTGTTTGATGTCTCAACCCCTTTTATCACTTTCCTTTTCTATTCTGGTTGCTATGACAGCTTTAGGCATCTGAAAGAGTGGTGCAGGGAAACTAAATCAGGGTACCCTGTTTGTTGGTTTCAAATTTCTTCATTTTCTCCAATTTATTCCTCTAGGCATCAATGGCATTGGTTACTTCACCTTGTTATGCCCAAATAACATATTATGTAATAGGACACTCGTTTTGGACCTATCCTTGGTAATTTTAAACAATTTACTTGATGTAGATAAACTTTTATCCCATTGTAGTTGCTTTTGGATTTCAATGAGGATCTTAATCCATCCTAAAATATGTTGAAATTCAGTTTCTGTTTTGCCAATCTAAGCTGTTTGAAATGCTACCAGCCAAATATTTTAATCTGTCAGTAACAAGTGGTAATGCTCCTTAATGAGAAAAACTTGCTTGAACAATATTGTCATGCAGCCATTTATGATAAATATATCATTTCAAGTGGATCGTGGCTGGTATTTTATCAATTTAAAGAATATAGGATCCCATCTTAAGCCTGAATCTTAGCATTTCTTTCGTTGTTTTCTTAATCCTTTGATTATTTTCATCCAGTGAAATTCATTCAAGCGTATCTGAGTCCTTCCTGCTGCGAGACCTTGCAAAGGCAATGCTAGAGTTTAGGTGTTACAAAGTATTTGTACATGAAAAGTTTGAATGTCTGTTGAGGCAAGCCAATGTAGCATATTTATTGAACTGGTATTAATGTTTCTTGGATAATTGTAGATGTTTATTCTTTTACTAGAGATTACAAAATACTCTTATATCTTGTAGCCCGACCTCTATACAGCTCTTAGGATGTGCATTCTCAGAGCCAAGTTTTTGTCATGATTTTCTGCCTTGCGATGCCAACATATAAGGGGCTGACAGATATCCACACCATACTTGGGAAACTAGGAGCACAACATTTGGTTAACTGGCTAGTTGTACATTGGATCTAAAAGATGTTATTGAGCCTGGATTTGTAGGCCAATTGCTAAGATATTGCAGCATGGACCAGACGGCCATATTGATTCAAAGTGTATTTTATTTATAATATGCACGCGCACACACATTCACATGCATGTGCTCATAATAGGTCTGGGATTGTTTGCATTCTTCATTCTTGACGACTTGCATGTTTTCTCTCTTTCTTCTCGCATATTGATAAATGTTACCTGCTCAATTTCAATGGTCAATTTCAGTTTATTCTTTTACTGACAAGCAGTTACTCTCCTCATTTTCATTCAACTGTTACAAACATGTAGTGACTAATTGTTTTCATCTGGTCAGTACACTCCTGCAATTGATACTTGGAGCATTGGATGTATATTTGCCGAAATGCTTACAGGAAAACCACTGTTTCCTGGGAAAAATGTGGTTCACCAATTGGATCTCATGAGTGATTTGCTAGGCACTCCTCCTCCTGAATCTCTTTCAAGGGTTAGTATCTCATTTTAGTCACTTCTTTTCTTTTGTCAATAGACAGACCTATTAAACACTTTTATGCTGTCATTGTTATAAATCTTTTGCTGTAATTTGCTCTTTCTTGGTCTTAAGGAAGTGCACTAATTTGATGCTGTTCTGCCTTTTATGTTATGTAGCTTGTTGTTTCCTTATGTTCCTTCATTCATCCATGCTTTCCCTGTATGTTACTTACCATTATGTTGGCAGATTCGAAATGAAAAGGCAAGGAGGTATCTTAGTAGCATGCGGAAGAAACCACCTGTTCCTTTCTCTCACAAGTTCCCTAATGTTGATCCCCTGGCTCTTCGCCTACTGGAGCGTCTGCTTGCATTTGATCCTAAAGATCGTCCAACAGCTGAAGAGGTACTAAGATTCAGTAATTTTGATATCATTATTTCAAACTCAAATTAAATAAATATAAAAGAGGTCTCTATGAAAGTTGTTTTTGAATCATGATACATTCTAACATGCCTAATGCTCTAGGCTTTAGCTGATCCTTACTTTAATGGTTTGTCAAATGTTGAGCGTGAGCCATCCACTCAACCCATTTCAAAATTGGAGTTTGAGTTTGAGAGGAGGAAATTAACAAAAGATGATGTAAGAGAGCTGATCTACAGAGAGGTATGGCAGTGATATCTGTTGCTTTTTTTACACTGGCTTTCACACATCATGGCGACTAAAATGAACTTTTGGTTTTCTGTGAACAGATATTAGAGTATCACCCGCAGATGCTGCAGGAGTACCTTCGAGGTGGAGAGCAGACTAGCTTTATGTACCCAAGGTAGAATGGTTGTTTATAACCTAGAAAACACATGTTTCCAACAAAACAATGATTAGTAAATATATATATATATTTTTTACAATTTCCTGATTTTAGAAAATCTTCGTCGAAACTGGAAAATTCTCCTCAAGTAAACATGATCTTAGAGGTTTAAAAGCTGGTATTTGGCATGCGCAATAGCAAATTAACACCTGATTTTATGAATTATATATGTACTTTGAAAATGCGATAAGATGTGTTTTGATATGCCCTTTTCTATACTAATTCTTTCTGTCAACCATAGTGGCGTTGATCGATTCAAGCGACAATTTGCGCATCTTGAGGAGCACTATGGTAAGGGGGGCAAAAACACTCCACTCCAAAGACAGCATGCTTCCTTGCCTAGGTAAGTGCTGGATATGAGTTTTTTCTTTATCTTTCATTTGAAGCTATATGATCATATGATTAAGCAAGTTGCCCCCCATATATATTGTTTGAGTGCGCCTGATTTTGACCAATTTCAAATGAATCATGGCTCTCCGTTTGCAAAACATCAATGATTCAACTATTTAATGGTGCAATTTTTATTGAATATTGATGACCCACAAGCGTTACCTCTTCTTCAGAGAGCGGGTTCCTGCTCCCAAGGATGAGACTGCAGCCCGAAACACTGATATTGAGGGGCGAACTGCAGCTTCTGTTGCGAAACCTCTTCAAAGCCTCCCAGGGTCACAGCAACCAGATGGTTCAGAGGATGCGACAGCTGCAGCACAAAATGGATCTAGTGAGCCAAACTACAGTAATCGAAGCTTATTGAAGAGTGCTAGCATCAGTGCCTCCAAATGTGTAGTTGTGAAACCAAAAGGAGATACAGAGGTAACATCGTTTTACACAAGTACTCTGTTTGTCCATCTGTGGAAGAGTTGATGGTACATTACATAGTAGAAGTGATGAACTTAAAAAAGGGAATTATGACAAGTAATCTTAGGAGACTGGCTGCTACTAGTGTGGCTAACAATGATAAGAGTCCTAAATGGGTATCACTTGTTTTGCAGTTTTCGGTAACCATGCTTATTATATTATTTTAGGGTTTATAGTCATGCCTGTAGTGGAAGTTTTGTTTAAATATCGATTTTCCCATACCTTATCTTTTGATAAAATGCTGCTCAAACGTGAGATTGCACGCAGTCCTAGGAGGATATTATAAGGCTTGTGGCATGTTTTCATCCCCTCTTCATATTCTAGTTTTTCTTATGGCAGGAGGAAACGATTACTGAGGCCAATGATGAGGTTGTAAATGACTTGTCTGAAAAGGTGGCAGCCTTATAGAGATTCATATGGCTGACTTTGGCGACCTGCCTGTTTTCCAGCTTTATGTGGATAGTGGGTGCTTCGCAATGACCTACACGGAAGATCAGGCAGAAGCTAGTTAGACTCCATTGTTATACTTGCCCCTCTTGTCAATGCAACTCCATTCATACAAAAATGTACTCTATTCCATTTCTTAGTGTTATTTGATAGGGAAAACCATTTCTTAGTGTTATTTGATAGGAAAAAAGAAAGAAAGAAGAGTTTTGGTCTGGAGAGGACGTGATACCTGTGGTCTGTTTTGTTAATGTAAATGACACTACTGGCAAGCGTTAGAGCAATCTTGAAGAAATGAGAGGTTCAATGGAAGCTGGTTTAATGCTGTGATACATCGTTCCTTGATTGTTTTTCTAAGAATAACCATTCCCAGACTGCAGGATCATTCCAACTGTGATATGTTCGATCTCATTTTCTGGCGCTATTCCATGATCTTTTAATTCAAGTTAATTTGTTAATTTAAATTATAGAATTAAGATAATCTAATTTAAAAAATAATTACAAAGTCTATTTTATTTTAAAAAAAGTTAATGCCAAATAATGAAATAAAAAATAAATAAAACAATTATGTCAACTACATTAAATTTTTAATTATGTGATTTAAGTCATTTAACTAAAAATATTTTATTTGAAAAAAATATTAAGCCTGCTTTTCAACCAATAAGATATCGAAGGATAAAATTAAAATAAAAAATTAATTACACAAAACAATTCAAAATAAAAAATAGTAATTAAAAGAATGAGAATTAAAACTGAATAAATAAATAAATTAGAGGATAATTATAAATTTTTTTTTATTGAAGGGTGAAATTAAAAAAATAATTTAACAGAAGAAAAAAATTAACATAATAACATAATCAAAATAATGAGGACCAAACTGAAAAAAATAGCATATTACAAATTGAAATTGAAGTATGAAATTGAAAATAATTCAAAATTTTACAAAAAAATCAAGAATAAAAATTAAAAATCAAAAGAATAAGGACCGAAATTGAAATATCAATAAATAAAAAGACAACCTTGAACTTTTGCATGACAAACACGATTTTCAAGGGGAGGAGAAGAAAAAAAATTACTAGTATTGCATCGCCACGTGCCACCCTACTAGAAAGATCTCAGCACATTGATTTCAAACACATGGTGAAAGGGTATTTTTAGTTGTAGGAGATGCTATACATGAAGCCCAAAAAGTATAACTTTCCACATGCTACTACGAGTTGCATGCATCAGCCAAATTTTTTTATTATATTTTTTATTTATTAAAATATCAAATTATCCCTCAGTCAACTTGCTTATAATAAAAAAATTAATAGAAAAATATAAAAAAGCTTTTTTATTTATTAAAATATTAAATTATCTCCCAGTCAACTTGCTTATAACAAAAAAAATTAATAAAAAAATATAAAAAAGCCTTTAAACACCAATTTTAGAATTTGCATTTTCAAGGATATTGTAGCCATTTCATTATATTTTTATAATGTAAAAAATGTATTCATTCCTAATTAATTTAATAATGACTAATAAACTTTGTAAAAAGCTCTCATTGTCTTTGATAGCTAATTCAATAATTTTTTTATAGAAAGAGTAAAACCATTATTGTGAATAATGTTATCACTCAAATTAAACAATGTTTTTTTAAATCACATTATGCTTTGTTAATACCATGTAACTTATATGAGCAATTCACTAAAACATATTTTATTGTCTAACAAAACACTTTGCAAGTTGAATTGTATTCACATGACCAACTTGCAATTTCATTTTCATATTATTGAACTTTTATTTTTTTAAAGTTTTGTCATAGTTTTTTTTTTGTCATGAAGTTTTGAAAAATATTCAAACTTGAATTAAAAAATTGATTTTGCTAGATCAAACTTTAATTTTAATTAAGAATAAAAATTAAAAGGAGAACTAACTTTAAGAAAAATAAAATGAAATCCATTTAGTTTTTTTATGGGGAGATTACAAAATGATCTCTAGAGTTTGGTTGTTCTATGATTTTGTTCATATTATTTTAGAAATTCATATTTTGATATCAAACTTAATTATGTAGAAAGTTACTTGAAGAGGAGAGCAAAAGTTCTCAAATTATCACGTTACAATTTTCAAAAACAGTTATCTTTGTGTGAATGAGTTTGATTTTTTTAAGAGGAGTTCAATGAAAGTGGTGTTGTCTTATAGTCATGCTATAAAAGTAGATTGAGGTCCACAATACTTTTTTGACGTGTTTAATTTTTATTTTTTATAGTGATTAGAGAGTGTTTTGGAGTTGAAAATGAGTGTATTAAGGTTCTTATGGGGTTTTTGAGGTGTTTTTATGTGAAAAAAGTTTAAAAAATAGTTTATTTAGAACCAAAAACTTAAATATGATAAATTATTTGTCACAAATAACTTGTCACCCATTTAGGACAAAAAATGAAAAATGAATAAAAAATTCTAGATGCTTCTGGGTTTTTTGAATATTGTTTAGGTGATTAGGCTTGGCTTGCTAGGCTTATAGTGTCTAAAATATTTTTTTAATTAATATTTTTATTTAAATATTGATTAATAACCTCTCTTTTATTTTTAAAACAATTGAATTGAATTTTTTTTAAATGGTGATTAATCTTCTTTTTTTTTAAAAAAAAATTATAAAGCTTCAAATAGATTATTATAATTTATCTGTAACTTTTTTCCTCTTATATGTTATATAAATAAGGTGTATTTGCATGACACATTTATTAAAACACAAATCTTTTATTATTAGCAATGTGAAAACATATAGAATAAAAATGATAATCAATGTAAAGTATTTGCGTTTGCATTTATATTTTTATTTCACTAGAAAGATTAGCTTCTTGTTTTGTTATTTAATTAACATTAACATCTTTTTTTATTGATCAATTCATATATTTTTTTAATTTATTTTATTAAGTATAAATAACATATTTTTATTTTGAATTAAAATTAATTATGATATTCAAAAACACATTCATAATGCAAGCAATTCTTTATTTTGTGTTAGAAATTAATTTGAGTTCCTACCCCAACATAATATGGGGGGAACAAGTATTAACTGTAATATTTAAGATCTATTTATTCAATGTATAAGAAGCTTATTAAACACATGAGATATTTTGGGAGGTGAATTGTATAATATTATTAAGATTATAATTGTTTAAAAAAAATAAAACACTACTTTTATAACCTCACATTTCTATTTTTTTATTTTATTTTATTAAACATAAATAATATTTTTTTCATTTATCAATTAAAAAAACTATACTCGAAAACACATTCATAACACAAATGCTTTCTTTTACACACACACACACACACACACACATATCTATATCTATATATATATATATATCAACTTAAATTCCTAACACAATATAGTACAAGTAAATAATTAGTATTAACTGTTATATTTGAGATCTATTTATTCAATGTATGAGATTTTTTTCGGATTCGAGGAAACCTCACTCCCGGAAAGCGCATTATATGGATCTAGGTAAGTGAGTAAAACCCTCGCTATTTCAGGTTCTTACATTGAGATCTATTTATTCAATGCACGAGATGCATATTAGCATATGAGATTTCGTAGGAGGTAGATTCTACAATAATATTAATATTAACATTTCTTAAAATAAAATAAAACACTATTATAATTTCATATTCTTTCTTTGTAGCCAAACTACAAATGTTAGTGGTTAGAAAGGTGGGATAAAGAAACCTTCAATTATATTGCAAAAATGTTAGATCTATGGAGATTAGAATTCATAGAACATGGAAGATATAATTTTTAGAAAAGGATCTTATATAAAGACCCTATTCATAGTTTTATTGTTAAAATATTTCTCTCTAATAGTAAATTGCTCTAAAATGATTACAACTTTTAAATAGGCTTGAAACCAACCTTTATAAGAAAGGAAAACTAGAATCCCTAAAAAAATAGGTGAAATAAAAACAAAATCCAAAATTATGGTTGAACAAAAAAACTAAACAAAAAAAAATACAATTAACAAAAACAATATTTTTTGGGTCTAATTTAAAGGTCTTTCTATTCTCGGTTGGTTATAACGAGCAAACCTACAATAAAGCTAAGCTTGTAAAACTTTTTAAAAACATTTGAACCCGACCTAATAGTCGGATAAAAAGTTATGTTTATTTTTACTAGGTTGGTCATTTAGCGCAATCAAGCCTTTTCTTGGGCTTGAACGTATCTTTTTGGTTTGAAAAATATATCTACTAAGCTTTTCACATAAGTCAGAAATAATAAATTCATATCTAATTAATCAAAACCTTTTACATCATTCTTTTTGGGTTGAAGAGAACTCGTCCTCGAGCTCTAGTAATCCATTAGACAAGTAGATAAATGTTATTTATTGTAAACTTCAACGGTCTTCAATTGATTATAAAAATGAAGTTGATATACATTATCATTAATTTTCTGCAACACCTCACAAGGATCAATATGTCTCTCTTAAAACTTGCCATACTCTCCTACAAGAAACTTATCACGAGTAAGCATTACCTAGACCAAGTCACCAATTTCTAAAGTGACATTCTTATAATGATAATTTGCGCAAGCCTTTTACTATACATTATAGTAAATTTTTTTCCTTGACCTGATCTTGCACTACATGAAAGTAGACTTCCATGTCTTTAGTTTAGACATTCAGATGTTCCATATAAGGGATTAGTGCCATTTTAAGCATACCTGATCAATCCTTTCCATATATAATCTCAAAATAACTTAATTGAGTAGTCAAATTCCTTGATTTATTATAAGTAGATTTTTCTTGAAGGAAGGTCAGATCTCATTAATTCAACTTGTTTCTTACTAGGATTTATAGTAAATTGTCTAAGCTATGATTCACCACTTTTATTTACCATATATCTGAAGATGATAAGCGATATTGAAGTTCAAATGAGTTTTCAACTTACTCCACAAGCTTTTCTAGAAGTTGCTCATGAACTTGGTATCCTAGCTAGAGGTAATAAGCCTAAAAACCTCATATAAATGAACCATTTTTTTAAAATAAAGATGGGAAGTCTAAAAAATATTAACGCTCTCTTTACAATACCTAAGTGGGCCATCTTTAAAAACCTATCTACTACATGTAACAAGTATTGTGTATATAGTTCTTTTAGGTATAGGGCTAGCCTAACACAAAATCTATTGTAGCATCCAACTAAGGCGTATCAAGTACAAACAAGGAAGTGTACATTCCAACATTGGTTAAAGAACCAGTAGATCATTGATATATGGCATACCTTTTCATGAATCTTGATACTTGACCTAAAAGTTTCGATTAATAAGAGTTAGATGAAACAAAGGCGAATGTATTTTCATGTTTGAG